ATGTTTAGTTATGTTGTACGATTTGTTGAGACTAGTTTAGGAAATAGTTCCTTAGTCTATTAATGTGAAGCTACTAGTAGGTATAAAGGATGTACACCATCATGTTATTATGTGAATCATATATTCACCAATGGGGAGTATTGAATTACCTGAGTATGCATACATTTTATAGATGAATTACTTATTATTAGTAAAGAGTAGTGTCATTCGGGGATGAATTTTCCTAAAGGGGAGGGGGGGGGGAGGAATGTAACAACCCCTAAAATGGATATGTTAAGTAATGCTTAATGTGTCTAGAATTCCAACGATTAGACCGGGTTCACACGGATTGATGCGCATAGAACAAAACTCTAAAGCCTTGCTACATCAAATCAAACTAACTTGGGGAGTTATTTGAGCTAGGAAAGGTTGGGTCCAATCATGTAGGTCTCTCGAATACGAAGATTTACTTGAAGGAGTCTTTATCGGACTTAAAAAGGGAAATCATAGGTTTGGAGGGTCTTGGGGTAAAATGGTCTATTTCTAGGATAAGGGTAGTATCGTAATTATCCTAAATATATAATTAATTATTTAATTAATAAGGTGGAGGGACACTTTGGGGAGAGTGGACCGAAATTGGGCTCTTGAAGTGAGGTCTTTCTCCACCCAGGTTCGAACCTAGGTGGAAGCAATAAATTAAATTGTTTTTAATGTAAGTTATTAAATTAATGTAATTAATTTATATTTCTTATTTATTAGGTTATTTAAAATAAAAGTAAATAAGATTATTAATAATTAAATAAAACTAATTTGACTAAGTCCTAAACTAGACTCCTAAGCCTAAGAAAACTCTTGTCTCCCATGCTCATCTCTCTCTCACGTCTCTATCACTCTCACTCACGTTTTTCTCTGCCAAATAACGTAAAATAACTGTAGGTCAACCAAAGTTCTTCACACTTGTAGAACTCACAACGCAAATTATAAACAAACAACTAATCAAATACATTTTGAAAATAAATGGTTTTTCCGTCAAGTTGGTGTTGAAGCTCTTGGATTTGGACGTGTGTTTGGAGGGGTTCATTTGAATCAAGTCGAGGTTTGAACGTTAAAAAGGTATGGGTTCTCTTCTCTCTTGGTCCCTTTCCCAAGAGACCCCTTAAGATTAAGAATATTCATTCCGAAAACTTGAATTGTTCCCCATGGCATGTCCCTGCCACTAGCTCCCATTGAATTATAGGTTGGTTATGTTTGATGGTATAAAACTAGGGATGAAACATGTTTTATTGATGCTTATGTTTTTATATGTATGTTTGGAATTATGTGACTTATGTTGATGTTTCCAAAAATGTAACTACATTTGTATGTATGTGTGTTGTTGTGGCTATTGTTCCTAGTTTAGGAGTTGAAATGGCATGATAGTTCTTTATATTTCATGTACACATGTTCATGTAAATGTGTTGTTCATATGAGTTTAAATGTGGCTGATTTGAGGGATAATGTATTGGTTAAACGAATACATGAAGACGCACATAAAACGTTCTAAATGCACTACGAAATTCCCCTAAGAACTAAGGTGTAACTTGATGAAATGATGTTGAAAAATTAAAAGAAAATTTCAAGATTCTATTGATGAATTTCGGTCAGCAAAAGAGGGTTCAAAATGTGGAAAAAAATGAATTAAAACAAGTGAGGTCATGAAGGATTGAACCCGTGACCTCACCATGTTAAAAATTATGAAAATAAAGAAATAAAAAGAAATGTGGTGAAGGGGATTCGAACAATGGTATTGTGTGGAAAATGTAACTTAAAAGAAAAAATAAGAAATGAGAGGAGTGGGATTCGAACCCACCACCTCTTAATCAGATTTAAGGAAGAGTAAAAGAAAAAAAAGTGAGGCGCGGGAATCGAACCCACGATCTTTAGGCAATGAAGGAGAGTCAAAATAAATGAAATAATAGAGATGTGAGGTGCGAGAATTGAACCCACGACCTCCTAGGCAGATTTAAGGAGAACTATTAAAAGAAATGAAAGAGGGGCTGTGGGGGTTCGAACCGACAACCACTCGGCCAAAGGAGAGAAATATAAAGGCAATGGAAATAAAAAGTAAAGGAGGTTGTGGGGGTTCGATCTCACATCCTCTTAGTTCCATTAAGCAAAAAATGAAGAGAGAAACTAAGTGAAAAATAAAATGAAGGCATTGGGGCTCGAACTTGGGTCCCCAAGCCGTATGGATCAAACCAAAATGCATAAAAAAATGTAAGTGTTGTTCAAGAGATTTGAAAATCGGGTTCCCTAGCCCAAATTCCGTATTGATACATAAGTCATACGTGAATTTAATGTTAAAGAATAATGTTTCCTACTTAGATCGAAATCGAGATCTTAGAATACAAACAAGATGCATAAGTATTGTACTATATAATCTTAGAAAGATATGAGTCACTTAAACGAACCATGAATTAAGCCTCATGGCTTGTATGTATAGACCCATAAGTCTAGCATACTCTTATAAGTAAGTGAACCTACGATGTATGTAATGAAATGATGAAACCCTAGAAGGATTAACGACGAGTGTAAAATACACTAAATGGCAAGTGCATTGGCATATGATTAAATGAACATTAAAATGATGAAATGAACAATGAGATGATGAATCCCTAGAAGGGTTTAAGTATGAGTGCGAAATACACCAAATGGCCAAGTAAATATGTATATGATAAAATGAACATTCACGTAAAGAGGGGTGAGTAACTATAAAGAGTAAATGTGCTAATGATTATGAATGCGGTGACACATGATATGAGGCTTATGTAAAAGATGAGAGCAATCTCAAATGAGCCTTAGTAAATGTTACCAAAACGTTCTCACCCATTAGAGTGTAAAGTTAATGAAGAGAACTATCTCAATGAACACTCTAATGAAAGTATTAAGATTAACACTCTCAATACTAATGATGAGATGATAAATAATCTATTGATCTATGATGTCCTCATACTAGAATCCAGCTTTCATGACGTATGAGTTGAATGTAATGGAACTTTATACTGAGCACCGATAGACTAGCTATGAGCGGTGATGCCTTCTTTTGGGAAGGGCGTAGGTTCACGTGACTCTCATGAAATGAGACTGTCCGGCATGCTAGGTATGGGTCTCCTTATATCTCCTAGACATTGAACCTATATTGCCAATATAGGGATCTGGCGGGGTTTAATTCACATGTATGCTAGCATGTTTTGGGTCACTTTGGCCGATGATTCCACCTCTTTTCGGTGTGGGGTTTCATGAAACTGGATTTCATGGTTCTCACATGATCTATGTCGGTCAAATTTAAAGTTCCCAATGAATGAATAAATGAGGCCATCCACAAATAATTCAAATAGTGAAATGAATGGTACCACAGGTGTTAGGGCAGGATGATCAGTACAAGTGTGTATTAACCCTATACAACTCTAAACTTTTAGGTGAAGGCACAGGTGAACACTAGAGCTACAGGATCAATACTGCAGCTATCTGGACATTGACTATTCATGCGGACTTGGTAGGCCCTCATGCTTTTGAGAATGCTTGTGCATTTACATTCTAGCTTAGTTGTAGGATTGAGCTAGTAGAGTATGTTCCACTAGCATTTCTTTCCCGTTTATCTTCAGACATTGTATGGGTGCCATTTTGGCAAGTACATCTTTATAATTATAATAAACTTCTTCTTTCATTTGACGATCTTAATGTTAGATGGTTGATGGTGAACAATTATATATGTAATAGAATGTTTAGTAAACATGTTGGGAAACAAAAAGTTTCAAATTTTCCACTAAAATTAACCTAGATGAAGTAAGAATGGCGTATGTAGGCTTGTCTGCGACCTTTGAGAGGTCAACAATGCAAGTATTGTCTGGGGTATAGAGTCTGGTCGCGACAGTATTCTTGCTCAGTTGTAGAAAAGACCAAGCTAGAGATAAAAAATCACTTTGAGAGAAAAGTGAGGTATTCCATAGATTATACAAGAAAAATAGTCTCTGAAGAAAAATAGAGTGTGAGTGATATTTTAGTATGGTGTAAACCAAAAGAGTGTTGTTCCTTTTGAGTGTATAGTAGTCATTTTGATTATTGATTTCGTGACTATACAATATAAAATTCCTTACTATAGTGATATCAATTGCTTCTTTTGGCCCGTGTTTTTTCCCTTATTTAGAAGTGTTTCCACGTAAAATTCTTGAAGTCATTATTTTCCCATTTTATTTTCATTACTTTTACCGTATATATTTTTCTGCTTGTCCGCATTTTCCAAACAAACTGGCAATCATAACAAGGTTTTATCTGAGTATGATCTGTGGTTGCAACACAGTCTGAACTTTCACATCAAAAAAATATTTATTTTTATTTGCATAACTATATTGTTTGGGGAAAATGATGGAAGCCAACACTAGTAGAATGATTACTTTGAATGGTGTTAATTATGCCATTTGGAAGGGGAAAATGGAAGATATGTTTTATGTTAAATAATTTTACAAACCAGTATTTACCACTGTAAAACCATATTTCTGAGTAAACACATGCTCAAGCCCTATTGGAGCATCTTGAAAGTTTGTATGCTCAGAAGACTGGAAACAACAAAATATTCTTAATAAAGTAGTTGTTCAGTTTAAAGTATCATGATGGTTCTCCGATGACAGACCATTTGAATATTTTTCAGGGGATCATGAACCAATTATCTGCTATGGGCATCAAATTCCATGAAGAAATTCAAGGCTTGCTTCTACTTGGTTCCCTACCAGACTCTTGGGAATCATTTAGAACTTTATTGTAAAATTCTGCTTCGGATGGTGTGATCTCTATGGATTCCGCCAAGAGTAGTGTCTTGAACAAAGAGATGAGAAGAAAAAATCAAGGTTCTTCTTCATCGGATGTTCTGAAAAATGGCCCAAGGGGGAGAAACAAAACTCGTGGTTCTCCATATAAAGAACAAAATAGGAGCAAATCAAAAGGCAGACTTAAGGATATTGAGTGATATTATTATGGAATGAAAGGGCACACAAAGAAGTTCTGCAGGAAGTTGAAGAGGGAAAGCAAAAACAAAAGGAGACTAAAGAAGATGGCAATGAAAATTGCTTAGCCACAGTTACCACCAAAGATCTTGTTACTGTCCTTGATGCGGATATGAGAAATATTGCTTGTGATGAGTCAAGGTGGGTTATGGGCACTAGTGCCGCATCTCATGTGATGTCAATGATAGATTTTTTATCTTCATATACTCCTGATGATTTTTGAACCTTGAGTATGTGTAATAAAAGTGTTTCTAAGGTGGTGTTATTGGATCAATTAATTTGGAAACTAGTGTTGGAACTAAATTAGTTTTGAACAATGTGAAACATGCTATTGATGTTCGTCTACACCTGATTTTTGTTTGTATTTTAGATGATGAAGGATATGTTAGTACCAATGGTGATGGAAAATGGAAGCTCATTAAGGGCTCCTTGGTTGTGGCTCGTTGTAACAAATGTCGTAGTCTATACTATGACCACTGCGTGTGTTGATATGTTGAATGTGGTTGATAGTGATAGTTGTTCAACGTTATGGCACCATAGACTTAGCCACATCAGCGAGAAAGGACTTAATGTTCTAGCCAAGAAGAAATTTTTGTCAAATTTTAAAAATTCTAAAATAGAAAAGTGTGAGCACTACTTGGCTGGTAAACAAGATAGAGTTTACTTTAAGTCTTACCCTCCTTCGAGAAAGACATAGTTTCTTGAGTTGGTGCACTCTGATTTCTGTGGTCTAATGAAGACAAAAACATTGGGTGGTGCACTCTACTTTGTCAATTTCATTGATGATTTCCTGATAAAACATTGGGTCTATGTCTCGAAGACTACAGACCAAGTGTTAGGTGTCTTCAAGCAGTTTCAGGCTTCAGCTCAAAGAGAAACTGGAAAGAAACTGAAATGTATTCATACTAACAATGGTGGTGAATATTGTGGACCATTTGATGAATATTGCAAGTATCAAGGTATTAGACACCAGAAGACTCCTCCCAAAGCTCCTCAGCTTAATGGTTTGGCTGAGAGGATGAACAAGATCTTTTGGCAAAGTTGCGGAATTCATTTTGGGGTGAGGCTTTATTGACCGTTGCACATGTTATAAATCTATCTCATGCGTTGCTTTTGCAAAGCGATGTACCAAATAGTGTTTGGTATGGAAAAGATGTTTCATATGAACATTTGAGAGTATTTGGTTGCAAAGCTTTTGTACATGTACCGAAAGATGAGAAGTCAAAGTTAGATACCAAGATAAGGCAGTGCATCTTCATTGGTTATGGCCTAGATGAATTTGGTTACAGGCTTTATGATCCAATTGAAAAGAAACTTGTGAGAAGCTGTGATATTATTTTCATGGAGAATCAAATAACCGTAGATATTTATAAAGCAGAGAAGCTAGAATCTTCAAGTTTTGGTGGTATAGTTCATCGTGATGAAGTTCCTCACACAAGTGTACATGATGTTTTTGGGCTTGATAATAATGGTGACGCCGATAATCATGTATCGAATCAACATGTTGATGTTGATAATAACTATGATATTTTCATTAATGATAATCCTGCTTATGAAGTTGTGGACGAATCAAATATTTCAGTTTGGAAGTCCACAAGACAATGGTTTCCTTCCTCTAGTTATTTACCCAATGAGTATGTGTTACTCACTGATGGGGGAGAACCTGAATGTTATGAGGAGTTCATGGAGGATGAGCAAAAGGATCAATGGATTGAATCCATGCAAGATGAGATGAAGTCTTTGCATGAGAACCATACTTACGAGTTGGTAAAATCCTAAAGGAATGAGAGCTTTGAAGAATAAGTGGGTGCTTAAAGTTAAAGTTGAAGAACACAACTTGAAGCCCAGGTACAAAGCTAGATTAGTTGTTAAGGGATTTGGTCAAAGGAAGGGTATTGACTTTGACGAAATATTTTCTCTTATTGTGAAAATGTCCTCGATTCGCACAGTTCTAGGTTTGGCTGCTAGTCTTAATTTAGAGATTGAACAGATGGATGTAACGGTGACTTTCCTTCACGGTAACCTAGAAGAAAAGATTTATATGGAGAAACTTGAGGGATTCAAAGTAGATGGTAAAGAAAATTTTGTGTGCGAACTCAGGATGAGTCTATATGGCCTAACGGAAGCTCCTAGACAGTTGAACAAAAAGTTTGAATCTGTTATAAGGAAGCAAGGCTATAAGAAAACTTCATCAGATAATTGTGTATTTGTACAAAAACTTTCTAACCATGATTTTATCATCCCTTTATTGTATGTGGATGATATGTTGATTGTGAGAAAGAATACATTCAAGATTGACGAGTTAAAGAATGAATTGTGTAAGTATTTTGCTATGAAAGACTTGGGTCATGCCAAGAAAATTTTAGGCATGAGAATTACTTGTCTCAGAGATGAAAGGAAGATTTATTTGTCATAGAAGAAGTACATTGGACGTGTATTGGAGCGCTTAAATATACCTCCTTTTAGTGAATGGTATGAGCTCTCTCTAAAGAAGATACTCCTTTTAGTGAATGGGACTGGAAGGTGAGATTTGTGGGGTTCTAGCCCCATATTTGTTTTTCAAAGTCTTAATTTAGTAGAACAACATACCAACTAAATTTTACCAAGATAATACCTAAGTTGTAAAGTTTGAAACTTAAGTATTTTCATGATGTCATTGGTGACATAATTAGTTGTAAATTTCTTCTAAAATATATTATTCTTTCTCATTTGTAGAACACACCAAGCTAGAGAGAAAAAACCACTTTGAGAGCAAAGTGAGGTATTCCATAGACTATACAAGAAAAATAGTTTGTGAAGAAAAATAGAGTGTGAGCGATATTCTAGTATCGTAGAAACCAAAAGAGTGTTATTCCTTTTGAGTGTGTAGTAGTGATTTTGAGTATTCTATTTGTGACTACAGAGTGTAAAATTCCTTATTTTAGTGATATCAGTATCTCCTCTTGGACCGTGGTTTTTCTCTTATTTAGAAGGATTTCCACGTAAAATTCTAGGTGTCATTATTTTCCATTTCATTTCTATTACTTTTACCATATATAATTTTTTCCTTGTCCGCATTTTTCCAACAATTTTCCCATTAAAAAGAAGCTTCATACAAGACTCAGTACTTTTGAGATCCATCTACCAAGCTCAGTATTGATCTATAACACGTAAACTTTCATTTGTTTTGACTAACCCGTGTCTATGTGTATGGCTATATGCCATGACTACTTTGCACAAAATTTTCAATAATTCTCTAAAAATTAGCAGAGGACATACACGCACCAAACTAGATATTTTCAAACAGGTGGGACGTTATACAAAATGGTCGGAAAAATTCACATTATATAGATTTATATAGATTATGTTAAAAATAAATAGGTATAGAAATATTAAATATGGCTAAACCAAACTGATTGATCCTCCTAGATCGATGACCAAGCGCGTTCCTAGATTACTATGTTGTTGGAGTTCGAATCAGTGCAGCACCAGAATTTCCTTTTTTTAAAGTTTCTAATCAAGTGAATCTCCCTATTCTGCTAAAAACCAGGTTTTCTGTAGGGCTGATCCAGCAACAGCTTAATCTGAAATAAGCAAATGTACCAGCCTACCAAGCATACAACTTACATATTTACTTAGACAATATAATATTTGATATATTGAATAGGTTCAAGAAAAAACTTGAAAGAAAAAAATTACTCATGCAATGTGTATTTCTAGGAAAGATGGTAATTTACATTAGTTCGGTTTTAATAAATATAAATTGAATAATATTTTCAATAATTAACAATTTTTACTTATTTAAATGTTAATTTAATCACGACATGTATACGCCATTGTTCATACACCACTGGTCGATCTATACTTGGTAACCAAGTTCATGTAACATAGTTGTTAATATGAAAATAGAAAAGATGAGCTTAGTTAAACTTGCATAATATTCTTTTCTCTCAGTGGGAAGATAATACCTTGCTCAGTACAACCTCTTTGAGCTTCTGGTAAAAATATGTATTGAAAAAGTGATACTCATTGACATCTGCATGAGGTTTTGTCTTTTGGAGGTACCTGGCAACAAAACAATGCAATTAGGGTATAGCAGATAGAGAAAGTTGGTGCAAATTTCATCTTGCTCCTACTAGCAATCAGTTTTATCAAAAGCAAAAAGAGTAAAAAAAACTATAAGGTCCATGGGGGGCTTTAAGCGCAATACTCAAATAAAAAGTGAACTTTTTGAAAAAAAAAGTGTAAGTAAAGTGAAAAAACAATTGTTTAGGGTCACTTCTTCATAAGAGGCTCATTGGCAAAGAAAAGTTTATTTTAGAACCTTGATGACGACACTGAAACGCACATAAAACAAGGTGAAACACTCAACACGTTTAGAACCTTGATGACTTTTAGCTTTTTAACTTATAAGCTACTTTAAAAAAGTCAATCCAAACACCGCCTAAGTGTAGGTCTCTATCCGCTTGCCTATCTTACTAGGATATTGGAAGAGTTCCTGATTTCCTTGGAAAAATTGAAGGGAGAGTTATACCTTCTGGAACTTGAACAATAACTACTATAAAGTAAAAAGAAATAATCCCTAAAGCTAAGGCTAGGAAATTTATATTAAAAAATGGATGAAGTAATCGGAATGACAGGTTTTACGGTTGTGGAATGCAGATAACATCAAAAATATCAATTTATAACATGCAACTACTTCTATAACGTTAAAATATAATGATACATTTGATTGAAAGAATATAATGCAAGTGTTCATGCATCCCAGAAGTTAATTTCATTTTACAAAGACCGTGAAGAGATTATCCAAAGCAGCTGCTAATAATAAATTCCATAAGCAATTTTGTTAGTTAGTAAGTTGGTATTTATTAGGCAGCTAAGTAGCAATAGTACCGAATGATAGCTGATGTTGGAAAAAGGCATAATGATATTACAGAGGTACCCATCAAATGCAAACACAAGATTTCAGAATAAATAAATAATATATACTTGTCGATATTATCATTGTTCATCACCAGCTCATTCTGTTTTTGAATCATCTATTTCTGCTCATAAGACTACAGGTAAACCTTTTTCTCACCCAGGCCAGCAACAAGCCATGATTAAGGAGATATTTATTTTCCTTACACTCTAGTGGTACTGGGGAACTTGTTCCTCAACCTCTAGGTAAGTCTCCAATTGGTCGTCATTAGTTGTATACCGTGAAGGTTGGCACTGATAGATAGATTGACTGAGCATGAATGGTTGCAAAAGTCTACATAGATTTTTCATCTTGACCATGACGATACCTTCACTCATGTGGCTAAGACTGCTTTACTATGTCTCTTTTTATCTATGGTTGTTCTTTACTTCATGCTTTTGGACTCTCTACAATATGAATTTTACAATTTTTTCTTCATGAGGGTCTCAAAGATTGGGTATATATGGAGAAATAATTAGATCTTGTTGATCCGAGAAGATATAGGAGGTTTGTAGAAAAATTGCACTATCCACTGCAACTCGACGTGACATTACTTTCCTGGTTAGCGTTGTACGTCACTTCTTTGATTATCCTTATGACATCCACTTAAATTTAGTCATTCGCATTCTTACAAACATAAATCTTCTCCAGGAAAAGGACTACTTTACAAAGACTAAGGACATAAGCAAATCATTAGATACACAAAATAAGATCGGGCAGAGCCACCCTCTGGAAAATGATCTACCTCTAGGTATTGAGTTTTAGTTGGAGTAAAGTTGGTGTTTCAGGAAAGTAAGAAAATGTGGTTGCTCAAATTAAGCAAATAAGATGAATAATGGGCTATGGCAATGGATACATGTGATATCTTATATGGACCAAGCAACTAGAGGAATTAAAATTTTGAAAAATAATGAAATGGAATTGGATAAACAAATGGAGATTGGGCAGAGCCACCCTCTGGCAAAGTTGGAGGAAATTTTGTGTTTTGGTGAAGTAAGAAAAAACATGTGGTTGCTCAATTGAGTGCACAAGCTGAATAATGGGCTATTGATACATGTGAACTTATATGGATCAAGCAACAACAAGAGTTAAAATTTGGAAAAAATAATGAAATGGAACTTGTGTGATAATGAGGC